TGAGAAGGTACATTCTCCAGGGCATCCAACCCATAGCTTTTCCTCAAAGTGGTTTTCATTCCCTAGATGGTTATCAACCATTGGTTTAAGAGTCTCTGAAAGTTAGCCTTGGGAGCTAACTGTTGCTTCCTGCTCTGGAGGGAGCCATGCCATTTAGCCCATGGCACATGCCGAGCAGGCACTGCTCTCCGTGGTGCAGTCCAGCTCGGAGTTGGGGGCGAGCTTCTAGTTGATTTGCTGGCGGAACTGGAAGATGTTCAGCCCTGGTGGCAGGTGAGCTGCTCATCAGCAGTCCTGTATGGCCGTCCGGCTGCCTGACCTCTTCCTGGAGGCTGAGATGCTCAAAATGTGGCTTCTGAGCTCTGCTCCAGCTGTCTTCATCTGAATACACACAGCAGCATTTATAAACTGAGCCCCAAGCTCCGCCGGAGGAGAGCAAGCACATCACCATCCACGATGGTGCTTTAACTCCCACCACATGTACTCAACTCCAAGTCGAGTAATTCACAAGGAACAAGTAGAACATTGAGAACCAGCAGGTATTCACCGCAGTGTGCGCTCAGCATTGTGAAGACGTGTTCACGATGGGGTAGGGCAACACAGCAGCAAAGAGCTCTGGCTCGGGGTGGGGACCTGTCATGGCCTGGTGTGGTGACTTTGGGCACCTGTCTTGGAAATGATGAAGCTAGACTAGGTGATCGCTAATGAGCCCATGGAATTCTCGGGCCCTAGGTGGGGAGGGAAGCAACCTTTCAGGCCTGGGGCTGTGTTGGACCTGGCCTTGCACGTTCCCATTGGCTCCTCTGCAGCCCTGTTTTGCAACCCACTGTTGCTTCAGGTAGAAGCCCTCCCTTCGTGCTGCTGAAATAGGTGCTGTAAGCCAGGATGGTGAGGAGGCTCTTGTTGTGTCCACACCTCCCACAGACGTGGTTCAGATGAGTCAGGTGCACAGAAGTCACATGGGGCTCTGGCTCCAAGGCCACAAGCTGCCACGGGTCCATCCAGTGTGGGGGAAGGAACAGCGTCTTCACACCAGCAGGGGAGGGGCGGGGCACATCTTAAAAAGGTGCTGCTGCTCGGATCCTTTCAGAGAACTTTATGGGGACTGTGGGAAGGTTTCGCAGAAATAAAGGCTAGCTTTTCTTGGCTGTGCCTACTGCTGGTTTTGTACAGAGCTCTGTTGTGTCGCCCTCTTCGAGCACAAGCTCCCATTTGAGAGGCTGGCTTTTCAGGGAGCACATAGTCGTGGCACAGCCAGCAGCCTCCTCTTAGTCCATGTCAGGTTGACAGAAATAGTGTCCCAGCTGGGGACAGATGAGAGACAGCTGGACTTGTGCTGCTGCTTGACAGTGTTGTAATTCCTGGCCCCACTGTAAAATAGGCCGTTGAGATTTTTATCGTCTAGACTGCCTTGTGGTCAGAGAAACCTCTGTCAGATTCACCTTGAGAAGGGTGGTGTTGGGTGTGTCCTCGTGCTGATCTACCATGTCCCTGTGGGGACAGTTAACTCTCCCTTCTTGAGTCTCGAGAGTGTGGTCAAAAGTGACAAGCCCAGGGCTTCCCCGGTGGTGCAGTGGTTGAGAGTCCGCCTGCCGATGCAGGGGACACGGGTTCGTGCCCCGGTCCAGGAGGACCCCACATGCCGTGGAGTGGCTGGGCCCGTGAGCCATGGCTGCTGGGCCTGCGCGTCCGGAGCCTGTGCTCCACAACGGGAGAGGCCACAACCGTGAGAGGCCCGTGTACCGCAAAAAAAAAAAAAAAAAAAAGAGGTGACAAGCCCAGAGTCTGGCTGCGGGTCATTTTTATACTGTACTGTTTATGCTTCCAAATATTTCTAAAGTGTTTAAGGTAACAGTTATGTCATTCTTGTTACTATTCAAGAGTGGCCATGGCAGCTTAATGAAAGGATTTGCTTCCTCCTGGTTACTGAAAGGTACTTTAGGAAGGTTGAAGCTTGAAGGCAGAAGCCCAAATGCTTTCCAGCATCTTCTTGGCATGGTGAGGTGGGGAAGGAGATTTGAATGTCCACCTAGTACCAGGTGCTCTATATTATCTCTTTTCATGTGCATCATGTCTACGAGGTATCCCATTTTGTAGCACTTGAAAGCCGAGGAAAGTGAACCTTGGGGGAGCTGAATCCTCCCAAGGTCGCAGAACTGGGAGTCAGGAGAGCCAGGATTCCAGTCCAGGCCTGCTTGCTGCCTGCATACTTGTCCCTCTCTCCAGCCCTCCATCAGGCCCCTTGGGGGGATCCTAACTCTCTGTGTTTGTTTTTCTCTCATTAGGTTTGGCCGGTACAGGTGTGAGAAAGGGACCACTGCAGTCCTCACTGAAAAAGTCACTACTCTGGAAATGGAGGTGCTGGAAGAAACAGTCCAAACAATGGACACTTCCTGAATGGTGTTGGTGGATGTCTGGTTATTGCTCTAGAAGACTGGGGGCAATGGAGGCTTCCCCTGTAAGACATTCGGCCAGTGTTTGCTGAATGAACCCATTAAAAATGAAAACCAAGTTAAGTGGCTGAAGTCTCAGGGCTGTGTGGTTTTTTGGGCTGCTAAGGCCCATCGACCTGGCCTCCCCTTCAGGATGTTAATCCCTCCCTGAATACTACTCTGCGTTCAGGTGGGTGTAAGAGCGGT